ACAGCCAACACGAAAGGGGAGATTAGTCGGTACATCTCCTGCACCTGCAGCCATTAACTAGAAAGAACATCCCAAATAAAAATGATGGCACATAGACCACAATATAATCCATCTATGAAAAAGCACTAGACTGAAGTTATGCTTGGACATTAAAATTTTTTTCCTTTTTTTCCATTTTTTTTCCTTTTTTTCAAAATTAGTATTTGTTCATAAAATTTTCAACTTTCACTTGAAGATGCGTTTTGGAAATTTTCGAAAATTTGAAAAACTTCAAAAAGTTATTTTTCAAAATTTTCACTCAAATCACTTACAAAACTTCAAAAACACCGCAAAATTATATTCATGTCCAAGCACAACTCTAATTTCAAATACCATTTTTACTTAAAAAAATTTTTCATCATTTTTTTAAATTTTACTATTCTTATGTCCAAACGCCCACTTAGAGATTAATTCCCATAGCTTTCCCTTGGATTTTCCAAAAAAATAAAATTGAGTTCACTCTTTTTGAGATGCTAAAAGTTTGTTCTCATCAGTAATACTAGTACAATTATTCTCTTATTCCTTTTGCGGACGGTTATTATTTGTGCCTTTTTGTTTAATAAATTTGCTAAAAGCTTAATTTCCTATACTTTTCTGATTACATAACTCGAACAAACGACACCGTTTGCTACTCAATCGTCTTCAAGTTTCAATTTTCCTCACAGAAATTTGAGTTAGTTCTGTAATGGCGGAGAAGCCCCAACCAGTAGAGGTTCTATATTGTGGAGTTTGCGGGTTACCCGCTGAGTACTGTGAATTCGGATCCGAATTTGAGAAATGCAAACCCTGGTTGATCCAAAATGCACCCGATCTCTATCCGGATCTCCTTAAAGGTTAAAACAAAACCCTAACCGTAGCATTCTTGTAAATATAGGAAAATGAGCACAACAACAACAGCAACAACAACAACGAACCCAGTGTATTCCCAGGAAAATGAGCATCTTTTTGCGAATATATGATAATCGTGTTTACGTTAATTTTTGTGCTACTTTATTTATTTATCTATATATTTGTTTGTTTGCTTGCTTGCTTGTTTTTTATTATTAGTTTATTTATTTGTTTATTTTTGCAGACGCAAATGGAAAAGATGCTGATAAAGTCTCTGATCAACTCCAGTCGACTTCAATCTCAGAAGGTGAAGTTCTTTTTTGCTATATTACTCTGTGTTAGTTCGGAGTATGAGTGTGAAAAATATTTATTTTCGTGTAAATTCAAACACGGGTTTCTTTACTTCAATCAATTAAAAGCATCATAATTTTTTTTATAAGGTAGATATATAATTAATGTTGAAAACGACACCTATATATAAGTAGCATACCGAAAGTAGAGGTGGATAGACTTACCTGGTACCCGTTGTTGGTGGGAGGTAGCATGTATTTCATAGAATTTGTCGAGGTGCACGAGCTGGCTCGGATACCATAGTTATAAGAAAAAGTACACCAAAAGCAGAGAACCTACAAAACTATATGATTCTCTATAAAGACGCCCAATCTTGTATACAAATTGGGACCTCATTGGGGCACCAAAAGAAAACTAAAATTAAGAGGTTACTTCAAATGTTTAAAGTCATTCGTATCCCATCAAAAGCTCTCACGTTCTTCTCTTTCTATATAACCAGGGCACAAATGGGCAACATCCCATGTCATACGTCTTCTCTTCTGCAAACACAACCGAATAGAGCCTCCTTCACCTTGCTTGGTGTTGTCCATTTCGTGCTGAACTATCTCAAAACCTCCTACCGCCGATGTATAACTAGTTGGAAGTACAAAAGGGGATGAGCCACGCCATAGGTTGAGTTTTTGCACGTTTAGCATTAGCTAACAAATGCGATCCTTCTATTCCTCAAGCTTTTAGCTATCATAATCACTCCCCTTGTTGCCTACCAAGAAAAGCACACAGCTCTTGGTGCCCTCAGTATCCATACCGATAGGTGAGGGGGAATCATGATAAATGGACAATGGGCCTAACTCAATCCCAAAAGGTAGCTCATGAAGTGAGGATTTCCCACGATCATATAAAGAGGCCTTTCCATCCCTTAATGGCCTATGTGAGACTCGACAACCCCTGCTTGCCCAAGACTGGACATCTAGAGTGTGAACAATATAAGATAGGGGGCCCAACATCGTTAAACGAATTGGCATGAGCCTGACTCTAATACCATAATAGATGGTCTTGGCCCTACCTCAAACCCAAAAGCTAGCTCATGAGGTAAAGATTGTTCCAGATCATATAAAGAAGCCTTCCCATCCCTTAGTGGCTGATGTAGGACTCAACAAACCAAAGTCCTCCTGGATTAAAAGCTTATTGGAACTGTAGTAGGATTACTACGAACATGCCACTGCCTCCATCCCTACCTCCATAAATCTTGGTTCTCAAGCGATGTATTATGTTTATAATGCATTTCAATCAGGCTTTGGAGGTCTGCTAGCTCCCTGTCTTGAAGGTTCCTCCTAAACCCTAGGTCCCAAAGAGCACTACCCTTTGTAGCGTTCGTACCTGTTGGACTATCATCTCCTTTTTGCATGAGAATCTGTAGATGTTTGGAAATGCGAGCCTCAAAGTGTTATCTCTATACCATGTGCCTCCAAAAGCTGCTCCTGCTCCCATTCCATACCTTGAATGTAATGCGTCCATTAAGCTCTTCCCATCCTTTCATAATGTTCCTCCGAATGCCACACCATAAAAGGATAATGATCCCTTTAGTCCTCTAACCCCCGCCTATTGTTATGTAGTTGTACACTATCACCTTTCTCCATAGTATATTAGTATGTGCTCTTCTATCCCAAAATCTCCACTCCTACTTTCCTAATAGAGCCTTGTTATAAACACGGAAATCTTTCACCTGAGCTCTTTCCATCTCTTTAACGAATCCATTGATACTGTTTGACTTTCTTGTCAACAACACTATGTACGAAATACCTATCTAATATCTTTTGGATGGGAATCCTGTACTGTCTAGTACCACATTCGGGCGCTGATGTGGTGAGTCTAACTTCTTTATCCACACTTATCCATTATGCGAGAATCCTTGTTTATACTCCTCATACCCAGGCAACAATGTGGTGGAACCATTTACTAATTTAACACTAAAACTCAAATATCAAATAGTGTCTTCCTAGATGAACACGTTCCAACAAATTCATCAATATGAGATTCATCGTAATTTTTTTTCTATTGTAATAACAGCCGTCAATCTACATTCACCGTCCTCCATTACCTGGACTTGGACTAGTTATGACTGCCAACATTGGCAAAGTGAGGGTGTCGTAGAAAAGACAAATGTGAGTGGGTTGTACTCCTTATGTTGCTACATGGAGGTCACTTCACCAACCCCTTTCAATTTCTTCTTGCTACGCTTTGCTAAGGCATTGCATTACCTTAATGGCCTTGAATGGTGAGAGAGGAGCACTTTTGTCTGAGCTCTCTATCAAATGAGAGCACTCCTCCCGAACCACCTCAATGAAGTGAAGATTGAAGATCACCATAGTGCGTAGCTCATCTGTGCTAATTTCCTAAAGGAGTAATAACGACACAATATAAAAAAGATGATGAATTCTTTTTTCTCGTCCCAACTTTTCTTTTCATTTCTTTGATTTCTTCGATGGCCAAGTGTTAAAGAACTCTGGTTTTGATTTTGAAATCCATTTATCTAATTCCTCAGAAATACAATCCCGTTTTTAACCTTCTTAGCCTTCCCCTTTCCATCTGCTTTTCTGGGTTTTTGTGTTCTTGGAAGAATAAATTCTGGTATAATGTGATGTGTCTGCTGGATTTGATATTTTAAACCCTGTCCTCCCTTCCATGCGGGGCTAATAGTTGTAGATAAAATTTTGAACGAAGAGCTCTAAGGTTTTTGGATTTCATTTTATCTTGTTTCCAGTTTGCATGTTCAAATTGAATTCTGTTCTTAACCTTCTTATTCCTTTGTTGGGTCAGGTTCTTCAACATCCAAGCAAGAAGAAGTCAAGCGTCTTCCTGGTGGAAAGATAAAAAAGAAAGTAAGAAGTTCCAACCATTTTTCTTTTTGTCTAATGTATATTAATCCCTCTTCAAAAAATGGTATGGCTCTATGCCATCCATGTGATATTATAAGCACTGAGCAAATTCAGTTCAGTGATGCTCTTGTAATCCTTTGAGTTCCTGTGCCCGTAAAACTTTTCATTGTTGCTCCATGTAAGCTAACCTCTTTAGGTTTTAGTTTGAGCAACATATAATGATATTGGACCAGTCTAACTAAATTTCACCTTTTCTCATTGCGCTATTTAGTTGCAAAGCTTGCTTTAATCCTCTATTTTCAAATTTGGATGGATGTTACTGCCTCTAACCCATTTTGTGTGACAGAATTTTCTATTTAACTGTCATTTTTCTCTTTGAAAACTATTTAATCTTAACATCCCCATCTTACCCTTGATGCCATGGCTTGTTAGGACTATCTTGATGTAGAACTTCATCTTTACAAGGACAGAACAAATGAAAAGACACGTGGAACTCTCACCATCACTCTTTTTTTTTTATTTTGAGAAATTTTTAGCTTACATGTCAAAAGTCTCCTTTAATTTCTTAAACTCCATGCCCAGTCAAACACCTTACATAAAATGGGACAAAAGGAGTATTTCACCTAGTTGAACTTGCTTGAAGCTGTAATGTTTCGGAAAGGGTTTTCCCTGCAATACGAATATGCAAGCTTGCTTAGTAGTTTCTCCTTGGCAAAAGAGGCAGTAAACAGAAACTACAAAAATAAAAAAGCGTAATCCATTAATTTTGCCAGCTAGCCTTCTCAAAAAGACAGAAGAAGGTAATTTTACCAACCAGGGGAAAAAATCATTGGATTGGTCCTAACTTCTAACTTGCAATGTCTTTTGTCTTTGAGAATTTTACATTGTTGCATTAATCAATTTCAGTTGAAGGTCCTATGTTTAGTATCTTATTGCATTGATGAATCTCAAATGCCTGATGTGAAATGATTGAAATAATTAGACTAACTCTTTTAATCTCCTTTGTTCTGCAAATCACGGGTTTGCTCCTTTGGACCAATGTAATTAAATCTGACCTAGACGAATCTGGGAGGTTGTCGTATGGCCTGTTTTCTGCAACCCTTTCTGTTAAGATGCTTGCAGTTCATATCTGGTTTCAGGATTGTGGACACAATATAGATATTGCAAAGAAAATTGCTTTGTGAGGCTGTGGAGGAAATAAAGGTTTCTTATTGTGGAAAAAAAGCAAATGGTCCATGACCTTGAGAATGATCATCCTTCATAGGATGTCTATTTGGAGGAACTCTATAAAATGGTTCTTCAAAGAAAATTCTATGTCAGACACTTTAGAACAACTAGGGAAACTCACTAAAATGTATTTGGAAAGTTGTCTAGTGAATTTGGTTGAAATGACTCCATCTTATTGGGTTAAACTGAGCATGAAACTCCCAGGTCATTTAGCAGGAACTAGTTTCCATTCTGGCATGGCAAAACAGCGAGTGAGGCATGTCTACTAGCACATTTCAACTACCAATTGTTCCTTTATGTTATTAGCTATTATACAAATCTGGTGCATTCTTCTTCTCTTTCCCTCTCTCTCCGTCAGGAGATCCGGCCTAGCAATGACAACTGAAACTATCACCTTGCCTAATGCTAACCTTAGTCCTCACTATATTTGAGAAACTTCCTATGAAATGTCTGATTCTCTCATTTTCAGGCAATATGGAGTTTTATTCATTGGTTCAGCTGTGGTGTCATGATCTCAAAACGATCATGCTGTGATAATGGGACTTGTAAGCAAAATCTATAAGTAGATAAACTTGCTTGGTTATTTTGTAGGTAGAGGCAGGAGTATTGTTATCGAAAAGGTCTAGAAGAGCTTCTGATAATGCTATCATCATCCGGGAATGATTCAAAGT